AAGTGAATATTACTAAAGTACATTTTAAAGAAGATACTACTTGACAATGATACTGTAATGAAAGCTGAACTTTGAAAAAAAACATATTTGTTAAAACACTATTCATCTAATTCTACTTTACGAACAAACATAACCCTATTGATCCATTCACCGTAGGAAGCCAATGAGCAATTAGTAGTGTCGTCATAGACGGTCTTCTGGGTACCACGGACCTGAAGGACAAATGCATGTCCTACTGTCCTAGTATTACTAGCTGCAACCAAATAGATACCGTCCTCTAGCTGTAATCTAGTAATAGCTAAAATACCACGATGACCAGAACAGTGTCGGTTCATCTCAATGTCACACATTGACAAACGAGAGCCTGCTATGTGCACTTGTAAAATAAATGCACGAAATATACTCCACGGTACTCCACGTGACAGATCCTGCTGAAGTTCATCCGATCGAGAAATAAATTCTTGAATGTGCGAGTCTTGAACTCCAAATCGTTCAACAGCCAATATAAGCTGATGCTGAAAATTGAATAAGAGCCGATATTTCATGTTGCAAAGCGTTCGTGTTGATTGTCGAAACAGCAGCAGTCTTCTCCACTGTATTGCATTGTGTGTTGAGGAGGATATTGCTACTCACAGCAATCTCCGCAACCATACTGTGTCTAGACAGAATCACCATTGCTGGCGTATAATTACAGAGCCCCAGGCCGATCCGCTAGATCACCAGGAGCGTAGATGCTGCAGTAGTGTTGACAGCTTGCTGTAGGGACCGCAGGTGGAGCGTGGGTAGCTTGAAAGTTGTTGTTGTTGTTGTTGTTGTAATCGAGGTCTGCAATGCGAAAACTAAAATGAAATGTCCTGCGCAAGGCGCACATGACGTCTTTTGCCGAAAACGACTGAGTATAGGCGTCTAGAGCACTAATCGTGCATATGCTGCATGTAAGCTAATGTGTGGAAGCTAAATGAGGTCCTGTGCAGATGAACAACACCTGTAGTCGCCTCTACCAGATAAGTGCGCCATACGCTGCGGTAAAGCTGTCTGAGTAAGTTCATGTCTAGCTAAGAAGTCTGAATGTTACGTTGAAGCCATATTTAAAAAATCTATACCTTTGAAAAATAATTCCTTTTGTGAAGAGGGCGTCACTCTTGAATTGGCACCGGAGCACACAAGTGCAGATTCCGAGTTTCGGACCAAAAACCACCCCCGTGAGGCGAGCTCAATTCTGGTCTCGGATTGCCTGTAGCTCGTCTAGAAGCTTCAGAAATGAAAAAAACCAGTTTCCATGTAGCCATTTTGTGAACTGACTGAACTCTTTTACCAGGGGTTTTTTCATAAGCCAATCGGATCGTTTTATTTTTTTATACCAATCATATTTCCTGAGAGGCTGTTGAGGTTAAGTTAGCCATGTCCTGTATAAAATAATAATGAAAGGACAAGGTGATCTTGACTTTATAATCTAATGTACTAAAATGACGGGTACATTTTAGATATTGACTGGTAGCGGCAACTCTAGACAGTGTTTTAGAGATCCGCATTCTAATCAACTGTTGTAAACAGCAATTCTAGCTTGTCCACTTAAATCTTAATCTCACAATTGCTATACTCTATCTTCCCTTCATTGTTCAAGACCCTACTGCGCCGTGCTCCCCTCAGCATTTGTGCTTGCAGCTTTGATAATCTGTGCTGTGGTTATCCAAGTAAATTATGATTTCTTTGGCAACTATTGGCTGCACCCTTTTTCATTTCCCCGCCAGAAGTACTTTAAAATGTTGAGCCGCCCTGTTTGCTTTCTGCTCTTCTAGGGAGAACATATTCATGGGCAGACCTGGAAGTTTATCTTACTCTTTTTATACCCTTCATTTTTGAATTTAATAAATTCACCGCTCAATCTGCTTTAAGAATTTCATACATACCACCTGATTTGCACGATATTTTTCGTAAAAGTTGGCATTTTTACTAAATTAGCAGGGTTATCTTTTGTTGGATCGTCTGCCGGTCCGGTCTACCACCGGTCAAGATTTTACAAAAAAAAAATATAGGCACTATTAAAAGTTGGACCCCGACCCCAGATCTCGGCCATAATTAAATATAGAAACCACCTGTCCGTTTCTGCTGAACAGCTGATGGTCATCTCGTTTTGCGATATGGTACTTGAAGGTTTCGTTATTTATTTTTCTACATTATTACTGAACAAGGACCACGTCATATTTTATAACACCGCTCAAATTCGAGCTCACGAGCGAGCCGCGCATCGCACTCTCCATTTCATCCTATCTTTTTATCGCAAGTGAAGCGAAACGCAGAGGCGCCGAAAGGGCGGCCAGCCAAGCGGCTGGCTACTAGTTCTGCATATTTATTCTTTCTACGAGCTTTATTGCAAAGTGTTGCTGTCTCGTGTGCCGCGCAGGATAATATCTCAAAGTGTTGGTCGGACGTACAGACGCCCTGGGAGACAAATACATTAGCCCTCACTTTTTATAAATGTAGTTGTCTCCCAGGTATGCCCAGGGCGTACCGATATGAGCACGTACCTCATTTGGCAGTTATCATAAAATTCAAGTAAGTTAAGACAGGTTTCAACTAGGGTCTTTACAAACAGTAAACATTTCCAGTTGGTAGCTACAGTTAGTATAAAAAGCTGACCGAAAGTAAATGAAGAAGCATTGATTTTAGCGAGTCATCCTGTTTTGCGATATAAGGTAAAGTAGCATGCATTAATTGGAACGGCGCAATGCGCATGTGCATGTGTTGTATAAGTGCCACGTCATATTATATAACTCTGCGTTAAGTAGGCAACAAAATCTCTCCTTTTCATAAGAATCCCAGTACCATTTTGAAATCTGCTTCCGCCCATGCGCTTTGGATTTTGTCAGGTCCTTATTCTGATTACCATCGTTGCTGGCTTCGTATAGCCGGCGACGATGGTAGTGAAAAAATTCAAGAAAACTTCAGCGGAGACTTCAATGACAGTACGTTTGACCACCCCGAAGGGGCAGCGAATGCGAGTAGCGACTTGATGAGCGAAGAGCGAGGTGTTTTAGGCGCCATAAAGTCAGTGTTTAAGTTTAAACAATCATAGAACCTTGGGGTGGCGAAGAATGTCATTGGGAAGAATTCTATCAACAAAATCCAGTTTGCTGCGGGTCAAAAAGTTGACATCACCAAGCTGAAGACTCCGTCCGGAAAGACCGTTGACGTCTCCCAAGCGAATCTAAAAATTGTTCCTGCAACGGAGGTCGACATAAGCAGAATGAAGAAGCTGGCAGAGAAAGATCCTGATGTGCTCAGTTTTCGATTGCTGGGGGAAAGAACTCCAAACAACATTCAACAAAACGAGTCTCGGAGATGCAGTCGTTCATCAAAAATCACCCCGAAGAGAGAACTAACGTCATTGAAAAGGTGATTTATGCTGGGTTTGCTCTAGTGCTTATAGGAACACCGATTTCTCTAATAATTGCCGCCGTTACCACCGATACACCCCCATAGTCGCAAAAATGGCAGAACCGGTTGGGTGTATTCTGAGTGTGAAAGAATGAAAGAAGGCGTTGCGATCTCTGACTTACTTTTTGTGTCGAAACTACGAGCTTTCTACTTTAGTTTGACCGGTCATAAATATATTTTCGATCAGTCACTGTTGCGAGCGTTTACGCAGCTACCTGTAGCGATATTACAGCATACCGGTATTAATAGCAACCCTGCACAATACTAAAACTTAATACCATCCTCTCGTCGCAGGCAGATGCCAATGTTTGTTACTACCCTCATCAAGTGGTTTTTTTAATAAGATGATGGTTACAACTAACTTCCCACCGCTGTCATCACTAGGTGTCGAATGATACGTCATAAACGAGTCCTAACATGTCCTAAAACTAGACTTGTTTTTAATTTGAGATTTTCTAGTGTATAAATGTATACTTAAGTATATGTAATACTCTTTCTAACAGAAGAGCTCAGTGCCTTTAGCTTAAAACTATATATGCTGTCACTTTCTTTTCATGCTCTCACAGTAAGGCAATCACCATGTAGCTGATACTTATTGTTAAGTTTTTGAGCTTAATCCGGTTCTGTAACCAATAACTGTGCACCAAAGCCAATGAAGCACTTACTGTTATTCTATGTATACTATACGCTCGGTTATCTTGCCGAGTAAGACTTCTGTCGAGTTATTCAAAGCCTCCGACACCTTCTTGCAACATTACTTTGACACTAAAGGGACCCAATTCGGACGTCGGAGATACATGTATTAAGATCCAAGGACTCACATTTTTTAATTTATTACTACAGTACGTAGTAGAAGATTCTTTCCTGCCGGCACATCATCATTGTTTTAGACAGGAGTTTAGTATTCCACAAAAAAAACGTATACCTTAAATCGCATCAATTCGAAATATATTGAAGATCATAATTTATTCCAATACTAATTACTTTACATTCTGTCCATGTCAATCGCCCACTTTGCGGCAGTTCCTATTGCACACCGTCAAAGTGCACACGATAATCATCTCTCTGATGACCCTTTTCTAGGAAACCAGTAAGGAAAATCGAAAGTTGAGCTTTAGGTACTGTACATGTAATCTATGAGTACGTTGTCACATAACCGCAGCTACAATGTAGTACTTCCGTATCGTTTTCAGACTACAGGGGAAGAAAGAATAAATTCAGAGCTCTTCACTTTCGAAATTATCAAAAGCCATCGCGCTTCAAATATTAACCCCCTTTTCGTCTTGGTCCAAATGACTTGCCGCCGTGCGTGCTGGTACAAGAAACCATGACGACCCAGTCAAGATATCCGACACGGCTGCGGTCAAATTCAAGCCCCAGCTTCATATATACAGAATCTCCTTTGGAGTCTCAAGTGTTACAGTGTTTGCGTGGTATTTCCGGAAGAGCTTTTTTTGGCTGCAAGGTCTCGCAGTCGGGTTCTGTCCCTGTAATACAGGCGGTATTACATGTAAAGAAGCGTAATGGCAGCACATAATATGTGTTAATATTACTGATATTACTAGTAGTATGTAACTGTATTATTATAATACAGTACATTTAAAAATGATTCTGAAAAAAAATCAATTCAGTAAACTGGGATGGCAACAATACCATTTTTGCCACCATTCCAGTTCGACAAAGAGAAGCTCTTCATTTACTCGTATCTCATGAATGTCACCCACTATCTACTTCGACTTCTTGTCTCCGAGACGCTCAGTGCAGAGTAGCACATGCCACCCGAACTGGGTCTGCACCTTGGCGAGCTCGCCCACTTCTCCTTCAAACACCACCTTGTCAAACTGCGGTACCATCTCGCCACGTCCGAACATGCCCAGGTCTCCTCCCTTCTTGCCCGACGGACAAGTGCTGTGCTTTCCAGCCAGTTCCGACAATTTCGTCTTCTTGTCCTCGGCAGCGTCGATCTCCTTAAACAATTTATCAGCCTCGTCCTCAGATTTCACCAGGATATGGAACGCGCGGGCACGAGGACCGCCCTTGCTCCCACGGGCACCATACGCCATGATAAAGATGAGGATAATGGGGCCAAGGAAAGGCATAATCTTTAGCAGCGCCTGCTTGAGATCGCGGTACTTGTCTGGCTCCTCCGTGCCATCCAGACGACGGGAGATCAGCACGAGATGCCAGCCGAACTGGGTCTTGACCTTGTGCACGACGCCGATCTCGCCCTCAAACGCAACCTTGTCGAATTCAGGCACCATCTGGCCGCGGTCGAACGTACCCAAGTCACCGCCCTTGCGGCTGGATGGACATTTGCTGTGCTCCTTGGCGAGCTGTGCGAACTTAAGGAAGAGGTTGGAGGCTTCTCCCAGCTGCACACTCAGGTCGTCGGCCTCAGCCTCCGTGTCTACGAGGATATGGCTAGCATGCGCCTGGATGGCGACGGGGGCGGCGTCTTGGCCTGCGACGGAGGCGATGCAGCACAGCAGCACCGTCGCAAGAAGCGCTAGGACTTTAGGCGCCATGGCAAATGATCGATAAGTGCTTCGCTCGGTCGTGACGTTAGCTATGGAACTTTTGTCCCCTGATTGATACGTGGCGAGAAGATGCGATTCATGATTGGATGATATTCGAATTTATAACAAGCTGGGATTCGTGAAAATTTGAAATTGAACAAAATGCGAATTTCACCGTCGCTGTTTGCCGGATTGAAATCATGGGTCCGTTAATAAACGTTTGAATTGCGCAGTTCAAAGGCTGAAACGCCGATAAGTTTATAGGCGCAACAGCAGCTTTGAGCATTTAACTTACTTACAATCAGTGAAAATGATGAAGTCATTCCCTGGGCGCCACACCACATCATCTTGATCTCACGGGGCCCGCAGGAGTCGAATGTCTCTTGCTTGAGCTCACGCGAACCTGTGTCCCTGAGTTAAATGTTGTCGAAATTTATCGGATTAGACTGAGACCCAATTTGTATTAGCTTCATGGACGCGAACGTTGATCATGCTAGCGGCATTGCTTCTGAAAGTTTGTAGTTCTCTGCGCTAGCCGAATACCATGTACACGACATCGCATAAGTTAATGTTCCTTGCTCTGGGTCGTAATGCCAGCGGAGTAGAAGCTGATTAAAAGTTCGGAGGAATTTACGTGGTACCAAACGAGCCACAAACCGTAATACAACGGCGGTAGCTTGGTACACGTGCTCGCCGTAGAACAAATATCCTGTGAGTAGTATCGCCTCCACTGTCGAGCACCGTTTATCCCTGTAAGTGACATAAGCAAAGTCATTGCAGTCCTTGAAGAGCCTCGTGAACGGTACACCGAGACAATTCTCCTCAAACGTCGTCATTATCTGAATTTTCATTCCTTCTGGTGTACTCACGGCACTGTTGACACGGTATTTACTTGCTCCTCGACGCTTTTGGCACAGCTTAGTCACTAAAGTGATACAATTCGTCAGTAAGCCCAGAGCTAGAGCAGCAGCAGTGATGACAAACCCCAAGTTCACGATAAAGACGTAGCACGAATCCTTCAAACCGCAATATTTCGCTCCTCGTGCTGACGTTAGTCGCAATAAGTCACCATTTGGGTCGCCAATAAATGATAGCGAGGTGTATCTGAAGAACGATAATACACCAGCCACGCAGCCAGTTGCCGTGAGAATTACCACTTCCCACAGTAATCGAAAGTCTCGGTCGAGCGCCTGCTCTCCAGCTCGAGCCTTGATGACATTAATGAACGAGTAAGAGAAGGCGAAAAAACTTAGCGCGAGGTTCATAATGGAGGCACTAGACAGCGTTCCGGTTGATAGTCCGAGGTAGTACATGTCCGAGTTGAACGCGAAGTGATACATGACTTGAGCGAGATAGGCAGCTTGCATACGCCCGTTCTGGCAGCGATACGCCCAAATCTGAGATAGCAACACAGAGCGCTTGGAGGACATTACCTGGTAGAGACTAACGATGCCCATGAGCAGGATCTGAGCGACGATAGCACCTGGTAACATACTCAAGGCTACGGTGTCAGCATATCGACTGCGGAACACGCTGATGATTTGAATTACTCGCGTTGGATCCGCAGCAGCGAGGGAGTTTGTGTACTCCCACACTGTGTTGTACATGTTGTGAACGCAAACGTCACCAGTTGAACACACTGGCAAATCATCGGGAGATTGTAACGTCAGTCCATACGAACGCCAGTGATCGATTAGCGTACATCCATCCTCGACGTAGACCCCAGTAGTATTCACTACACGAACTCGACAACCAGAGAAGAACGAACGCAGTAGAGGCTGAATCCGTGAATCGTTGGTACTGTCTTGATGTAACGCGAAACGGTAGGTAGACTACTACTCTCAATCTCGTAAGGAAACTCAAGTCGATCAGGGACAACCGCTAATAAGTCTTCTCCGTTAGTTGCATAGGCTAATTTAAGGCCTACAATCCCCTGGTTTGGGATATCAGGACGACAGTCTGCATAATCCGGATACGTGTTGAAGTCAGCAACAGAGATAGATGAATAATCTGCACTGTTTTTGCTCGTCTGAAACCTGTGAAGACGCAAAACAACACCGAGATTCCAACGCGATTCACACTTTTCTTTTTGCTCCACAGCCACTTCTAGCGCACGCTTCATCTGTGGAGCCAATGCCAAATTCAGTGTGTTAACCACGCTTAGTATCCCTCAGGTGTGCTACCAATCGCAACGTTAGGAGTCCCCCAGTCGTTCACAGCTCCAATTGCGACAGAACATACCGCCCCATCATGATCCAGTTTATCTGCGAGTGTTATCTCTTCAGAGGTTAGTTTGCTGTAGTCTCCTGCTGCCGCATCAAGGTTGGCCACTACTTGAGAGTTCTCGTAAGCCGGCATACTGATAATTGCGTCACTACCGAAAGCGCCAAGCTGGATGAATACTTTACGGCAGGAAGAGAGACAAGTGTGGCAGCCTCCACGCATGATTGGGTCCAGTTGGCTATAGGCAAAGTAACTGTGTTTGGCATCAATGAAAAATGTGGCGCTGGTGAAGTACCCGGTAGTGATACAGACAATGGCTACCACCAACGGAGCGATCACGCATCGTCCAGTGACTCCACACACGGCTAGTAATACCGAAGGATGAAGGGTCGATCTCCAGTTGCGAGTGCTCTTCTGACGCTCTTGCTCGGCATAGTACTGAGCGCCCCAGCTAGTAGTCCGAGTTCGTTCGTCCATCGCCACCATGTGAGAAGGAGATCGATCAGACGGACGGAGATTGTGGCGACCAACGCGTAGACGTCAACTAATTTTAGCAGATTGAGCATTCTAAACTATACTAGGTATTGATTGTAATGATATTTACTTTGTGTACTTGAGTGGTCTTTAGCATAATGTTTATAATGACGGCCTTTGTGATGGGAATCAGATCACATTTATATTTCATGCTATGATTGGGCAGATGTTATGGGTACGGAATCAGCTATTCATGCTAGCGCTTTTGCAATCGATTCAAAGTCGATTGTAAAGCGTCCCGCAAGATAATTTCTCCGCTCTTTTAGGTATTGTCGTGTAAAGGTTTGACATCATTGTTGAGAAGGCAGCATCAAACACCTTGTCGGCAGTGGGGATTTGAAGGTCGGAGATTCTAGTCACTTCAGCTGGTAGTGCGGTGGTTTCCTTCGCAAGCTGCTCCAGGTACTCCATCACAATACTAACGCGTGAGTGTCTCATTCGATGAGCTGCACTAACATCATGCTGCTTACTTAGCTGTCTGTATGGACGAATCTTGGCGCCACGATCACCAAAAAACCAGAGGTTCCACATAGTTTTTACATTCGCTCGTGCTGAAACCTCCCAGCCTATTGGAACAGCATAATCAAGCTTACCATCATCCCACGGCCATGAACGCCATTCTGATTGCTGCTCCCTCGCAATACTCTTGCTGGTAGTAGCAGACTTACCCAATTGCAGATCGCTGATAAGGTTGCGAAACTCTGTAGCCATTGTGGACCGTAAATCGCTCATCCGGGTATCCAGATCGCGCAGCGAAATTGGAGCAACCCCATTAACCACAAAATGCTGCCGCATTTCCGTAACACCTTGAACGGCAACTTGATTTGGTAGTTTTACGACTATTTCAGACTTAATGCTCTCGAATTTTTTATGAAGGGTGGCGACCTCATCTCTTTGCTCGTTCACTTGCTTTCCTACCGCGAGATGTGCGGGAATTCCGGTTGCCTTTAGGCGGTAGAATTTTAACGGGGTCGTATACAGGTCAGGCCTGATTATTGGGTCAGGTTCCAATTTCCCAACAGGATCCTCCTACATAAGTAGAAGAATCGAACAGTGAAGAAGATGACGAGGCTGTAGATGTCGACAGTGATGATGACAACGAGGGCGTCTCTGGTACTAGCAGCGAAGAGGACGCTGCTGCTACGAATTTGGGCGCAGATGTGATCAGCAATGACAGTGATGCCGATGAATGCGACACTGAAGCCGACCAACCTCGTGCCGCGCAGACCATCGTGGTCTAAGCATTTTAACCCAACTGCTTAGCTTCGTATCTTTCACTTCAATAAGTAGCTTAGCAATTGGTCCTGTGTTTGGTAGGGCCGTCAGGAAACCCGCCTGACCCAATTATCAGGCCCTACCCGTAAACGACCACAAAAATAGCTAACCCCTTTAGGCCACACACCGGTGACGTCCCAATTGCAAGAATCGTCACACCACGCTGATCGTCGAGAAGGGAATTTGCGGAAAATACTCGTGCTTTAAATATCGGATGCGACGACGATAGCGTGACTATCATTCTACAACATAGTTGATCAGCTCCCTCTCCAAAATGAATGTATCTGTCTTTCAGATCTCCCACACTTTGGCCCATACACAAGTAGACCGAGACGGGGGTTGGCCCACTTACTTGTCCAAGCGCATACGAGCTACTGCCTTTGCGCAGACTGTGGGTGCCGATGTCCTCCGGTATGCAGCCCAGTATACACAATTCTGTCTCGCTGAATAACTTGATTACGCGACGTAACAAGCGGCCAAAGCGATCCTTTGAGTCACTTCCCAGGAAAAGCTGTTGTTTGCCTCCCTTACCGCGTTCAGGACAGCAAAATAATAGTACAGCGAGCGCGAGAACAGGGCATTGCGATGGGGTGTAGGGGTTGGAATAAACATGCTTGCCAAACCTCTCGGCTCCAGTTTGATCTCCTTTATGACCTTGCTCCTCAACAATTAGACAATCCGCAGACCACTCTATATGTTGCAACATGATTGTATCAATCGAATCCGCCCGGCTCATTAAATTCCACATGAGAACAAAAAACCTCTAGCTAAATAACACCGTCGACCAGGCTTGACCTTTCTTTACAGGCTCAAGTTTCATTAGTTTCAGAGCCAGGAGCTCAAATCCGAAACCTTTTAGTTGACGTTTCCCTTCATTGATTTTCATCAGACCCCGCTTCTGTAGATCATTTATGACCTTCTGGTAGCCCTCGAGAACCCGGCGAAGCTCTGTGTCAATTAGGGGGTCCAACTCAATAAATTGTGCGCGATAGACGTCAACAAGAGCACTGCGATAGCCCCAAATACACGACGCCGTAAGGGGAAGACTTGACGCATCTTGTGCGCTATCGCGGTCACACATGTGAGGAGGACTACAGATATGCCCAAAAAAATCCAGAATAGCCTCTTTAGGGAGCGGAATGAGCATCTTCTTCGTGATACTGTCGATTGTCTGCGGGAAGTGCAAGGCCAGCCATGCAGTCATGGCGTTCACCTTCGACTGATATGTACGTTTGGTGCTTATCTTCGTCCTCTTTGACTGGAGCGACTGAGCCACTGAAGCTGAGTACTCAGCGTCTCGCTTTTGCCTGCGCGCCATTTTGCTCTTTTGTTTGTGAAAGGTTGCAATAATGTGTGATGACGTCGTTATCACAAATGCCGTTAATCTGGCATATTAAGCTCGCACCATAGTGAAATCATATATATTTCATTAGGTTCGCAGACGATTTCGGGCAACTATGATCGTCTCCACAAATGCAGCATATGTTAACGTTAGTTTCGCGAAAGCATTCGGGCTCTCCAGTCAATTTTAATGAAGTTTTTTTAGCTGAATTTTAAATCTGATCTAGGGTTTTAATTGGACTAACCAGAAAAAAAACAGGTTTCACGCGTGAGTATTCGACAAGAGTGGTACTGAATCTTAATTGACAAACTTTAGTTTTAAAAGAGGATGGTGATAGAGTTTACTGAATGCGAAATTAAGACAGCAGCTCCGGATTTTCCTATCGTACGGAAGTTCTGACACTGAAATGGCGACCGCACAGTGCTGTGCGCCTGGATACTCGCTGAAGGTGAGCTGGTCTACGTGGTCTCTAACACGGCAACTGTGAGTTGGCCTACCTGCTCGCGTATAAACGCTCAGAATAGTACCATGCATAGTTAACTCCTCGAAACCAGGTGCTGAATCAGGGCCTTAGGCCCTGGTTCAAGTGCTCTATGCCGAATAATTTAAGCAAGTTGATTGGCTCATAATTACGGCGCTCCTGCATATGTTTTGCTTCCGGATGCAGTTTTTCAGAACACCAACCAGAGGTGTTCTAGCGAGAGAACAATTGTGCTACGAAAAATAAAGGCAGTTCTTGCCCTACAAAACTGGTCGCTTGGATTCCAGCTCGAAAGGCCGGGAAGCTTGCACCTGTGCAGTGCGCTCGGCAGCGACAGCAGTCGCGCGGCATATGGGCGACAGCACTTAGGCTCACGCAGTGATTGGTGCATAATGCAATCATTCACGTGAGTTCTTTGCATTTTGCACGAAGAGGATCATGCGCTTACGCAAATGAATAGAAACGCGTATCCACAGATCCTCAAAGCTTTCATTGTGTGGATTAAATGGCTTAAACTCTCTAGGCAGCGTTTTCAGCAAAGCTGGCCTAACTTGCGCTCTCTTCCTTTCGTAGAAAGGGCTAAAAATCGAGGCGTGAGCTAAATGCTCGGTAGATTCCGTTTACGACAACAGGTCTTCCACAACATGTATCAGGCGCTGGAGCTCGGCTATTAATAGTCGGACCTTCTTAACTCGGGTTGCCATGTCGTTCTTCAACAACAAGCGTAATGCTGGATTCCCTCCACACCAGTGATGGCATATCATTAGGCGCGGGGGTGCCAAGATTTCAAACGACACCACCGGAGCGACAGCCTGCCACTCACTAGCAGTGCTTTCACTCCCATGTAGTTTTTATATAGTTTTTAATTTATTATCTAGGTCTGTTACACTACTAAAATGAATTGAAGCCGGCGTAACTTCATGGCCGTGGCTGCAAATATGCCATTGTACTGGCATTATCTTCCCCCAGAAGCGCTTGAAAAGAAAAACCGGGTGGATCTACAGTGTTTGCTCGGTCGTTTCTCTCGAACTACGACGGCTTTCTGCCTGAGCCGTTTCCAGCAGTATATGGCCTTTGCTGGTTGGATAATTCGCGCCTGGGGTTCAAGTTTGCTGGCTCGAGAATCCGACATTGTACGCGTGTGTCATTTGAAAGAATCCATCAATGTATATCGAAGTGCTCGGGTAAGATCTTCTTCAGCTGACCATTTGACTCTTAAATGTCCACTAATTCATGAATGCATGGTCTGCCATGTGTGCGCCGAAATACGCCTGAACATTGGGTTCGTTCGCCTCCAGTAGTGACAAGCTTGCGAGCTTCTGTCCACAGTTTGTCCGTCTCTGTGAGGGCATGCGTCGAGATCAACCGAACTACTGCTGAATAATGACGCGATCTGTGCGGTGATATTGCTGCATCTTGTGAAGATTAGTAGCTGATCGTCTTTGCAGCAGCGCTCCACCATGGTAGAAGTTTCACAAACACGGTTAGAAGATATCCTTTTGACGTTTCGAGCCATCGTTTTATCTTGGCATGTGTTAATTCTATCGTCGACGTGTCGTGGCATCCAAAGTGCGTGTACCGGTCTGTCCACCATTTGACAATCCGTGTTTTGTTCTTTCACCACGTTTGCTCCAGATAGTTTGCCGTAACGATACTAAGCGCACGAAGTGCAGCACGATGTTCATCGGATTCGGTTTTAGTTTCAGAAGCAACGGCCTCATAATACTTTGCCAAAAAGACATCGGTCTTTACTAAATTCTGTTGCATATCTTCATTTGGTCCTGGTTGCGAAAGTCGTACAGTTCCAAAATCGTCTTGGAAACGTGCGAGAGCATTGCGGTTGAC